TGAGAACCGAATTCTGTTAATCAGCCAAGTTCCAAAGATACTCTAAAAGTGGTTCAAAATCAGGTCTCTTGGTGGTAGCATACTCAATGTTCTGGGTTCAATCCTCAGGACTGGGGGATAGGGGTGGGGAAGRGATTAGGTCTCTTCCCCACCACCAGATACTTTTGCAATTACTTTAAAATGACAAAAATAATATAAACAAATGTTTTTCAGGCAAGTGCAGTGGCTCAGATCTGTAATCCCAGTTACTCAGGAGGCTCAGCCARGAGAACTAAAAGTTCAAGATCACTCCAGACATTTTAGCGAGACCCTGTCTCAAAATAAAAGTTTAAAAAGGAATGGGGACTGGGGGCTGGGATTGTGGCTCAACAGCAGAGCGATCATCTAGCATGTGCAAGGCACTGGGTCCGATCCTCAGCACCACATAAAAATAAATAAATAAAATAAAAGTATTGTGTCCAACTACAACTAAAAATAAAAGATAGCTCAGTGGTAAAGCACTTATCTAGTRTATGGTTTAGAAATCAGGTGTCCCCAAAAAGTTCTTGCGTGAGACAATATAAGGTTTGGAGGTCATATGATTGGGTTATGAGAGCCTTAACATAATCAGTGAATTAATCCCCAGATAGGAATCAACTGAGTGGTAATAGAAGGCCAGGGTGTCGCTGGAGGAGGTGGGTCCCTGGGGGCGTACCTTTAGGGTTTACTTTGTGTTGGTAAAGAGAGCTCTCTCTGCTTCTTGGTGGCCATGTCCAGACTTGCGTTTCCACCACACCCTTCTGCTATAATGTTCTGCTTACCTCCAGCCCAAAGGAATAGAGCTAGCTATCTATGAAATCAGACCTCTGAAACTGTGATCCCCAAAATAAACATTTCCTCTTTTAAATTTTCTTGTCAAGTCTTTTTAGTAACAGCTCCAAAAAAGCTAACTAATAAAATACCTAGCATGCATGAGGCCGTGGGTTCAATTCCTAGCACAAAATAAATAACAAATGATTTTCAAGTAAATACTCAACATTGTGATTTTTTTTTTTTTAATCTTTTGAAGAAACAAGGACTGTCTTTCAGGGGAAATCTAGTTCCCAACAATAAACCAAAAAGAAGCTGACCATGTTTTGCTTAAAATAAATTGAAATACAAAATATCACTGTAGCTCAGTGGTGCACTTGCATTGCATAAACAAGCCCTGAGTTTAATCACCAGCACCACAAAAAGAAAGAAAAGAAAAAACAAGCCATGAAAACAAACAGTAGCAGTGAAATGACAAATAGAACCCAGTAATAAATTACAGATTAATGTGACTTTATTTTTTAACAAGGTTAAAATAACATACTTAAGATTGAAATTATAKTGACAAGCTATTTTTAATTTGTCCACCTCTCTCAACAGGCATGGTTACAATGTTATTCTTTCCATGAGGCTCTGGGGAGGGGGGGGGGGTATGTGGAGGAGGCTTCTATTCTTACCAGTTAGAAAAACTTGTCTTTGTTACAAAACCTGGTCTTTTCCTTTCCTGTCTTTGGCTGCCAGGAAGGAAGGGAGGCTTGAAACATTTAAAAGTTTCAAAGCTAAAAATTTTCCCTCCTGAAAGATCAATAGCTCTGGAACTGTGATAGGACTCCTACACTAGTCACTGCTATATGTAAAAGTGGCTGTGTGTTTAATTGAAGCCAGGAGAGCTTTACCACCAAGCCAAGTTCCCAGATCTTTTCTTTCTTTATTTCTTTTTCTTTTTTTAATTTTGAAACAAGGTCTAGCTAACTTGCCTCAACCTCCCTATTAGAGGCACTGGGATTTTTTTTATTGGTATCTTCTGTCTTAATGCAGGAGGGCCCACTTCTTCATAAAATAAAAAACTATTGCACATTAAAAAGTTAAAATATTTTTGACAAGGCAAAAGTGTATTAACTTTTCATTTTAAATGTAATATCAGAAGACAGAAAATAAAACTTTAGGATACAGTCCCTATCATGGAAGGATTTTTAAAATTCACTTACAAATCTTACTGTTTTAAGAACTACTTACAGTGTGTCTGACTTGATACAATAGATACATTTCTAAAAACATATTTTTAGGGCTGGGGTACAACACAATAGTAGAGGGCTTGCCTAATATATGTGAGGTCCTGGATTTGAGCCTCAGCTACACAATAAATAAATATTACATTTTGAAGTTGTTTTTATTTCTTTTTTTTAACATTTAAATTTTTTTTTAATTTTTTTTAGTTGTAAGTTGGACAGAATATCTTTATTTTATTTATTTATTTTTATGTAGTGCTGAGGTGAGCGCTCTACCTCTGAGCTACAACCCCAGCCCCTAAACTTCTTTTTTATCACAATTTTATAAATAAATTCAAACACATTTGATTGGGGTTGACTTTCAACTTATAACAGCTTTTAACTAACTTCTAACTCTTTGATTTAGGAAAAAACAGAGATATAAATAATTTCTAAACATCCAAGCAGATGTTCCATGATGCCTCTAGAAAGTATGCAGAAATAATTATAGTAGACTATCAGTTTTACCTAAAATAGCAACTTCAAATTATTAAAGGAGTTATAGAGTTAAAATGTAAACAAATACATTTAACTTCTTTAAGAAATTAGTTTCCATTGTCCAGGACTTCTAACTCACAGACCAACCTTCTGAGAGATAGAAGCAAATTTCTCCTACATTAAATTTTAGGTTTACAGTAGTCATGATCATGTTCCATATAATTTTTTGTTTTGTTTTTGGTGCTGGGAATTAAACCCAAGGCCTCACACATGCTAAGCATAGACTCTGTTACTGATCTACACCCCAGTCCCCAAAATAATTTTTTTTTTAAGTTATAGAAAGTATCCCTTTTTCCAAAACCATGTAACTGGTCCCAAAATAGTTCTTACTAATTTATTAGTGAACTTATAAAATTCAAACCACTTCACAGTTAAGTCTTCAGATAAGTGGGGAAACAATCCAGCTTTCTCATTCAGTTCCTTCCTCTGAGCTAGAATGAGGATTCAATCTCAAATTGCTCTTCCAAGCTACAAAACAATGAAATACCCCACTAAAATAACTCTAGAAGTTGACATGGAATACAATAAATACAACAGCTGACAGTAATTTAAGATTGGCTTATATCAAAGGATTGCATTTCTACACCAAGTTAACTTCAATAATATGATCTTTGAAATAAATGTTTTGAACCTTAGCTTTAAAAACCTAACATTTTACAGTACTAGATGTCAGCTGACTACAGTTCTACTTTTTAAAAAATTAATCATTTGACCCCATAAATCAATGAGAAGTCAAAAACATCAAAAGCAAAAATCTACAGAAGCACTACATGTCCCTTCATAATTTATTTCTGCATCTCCAAAACAGCACAGGTAAGTAATAGGGACACTATTACTACTGGAACATAATCAGAAAAAAACAACACCATTGATACTGTAGCATTTATCTGTATGCCAACAAGAGATTTTACATATAAAATCTATAGGAGACTCTATAACTTGGTTCTACATTCTACCTCGAATTTAAAGAATTTTGATTWATCCCAACATGGCTTAAATTTTAAACTGTAAGATGATTTTAAGTGAGTCAAGATACCTGCTTCTACTGAGATATTTCAATTAAATGTGCATTTGAATAAACATACACTTTACAAGCATGATCTCATAAGCCCTGACCTACAGATAGAGATCAAACCTAAAGAGAGAGATCAAACCTAAAGATAGAGATCAAACTGCAGCTAGAAATAAATGGTGCTAGAAATCAGAGCAGATTTTATATTCAAAGTCTAAACTCAAAATATGCATCCTGTTTATGAAGTTCCAGGTTTAGAAAGAACTGCCAACAGTAATAAGTAAACAAACCGTCCTGTAAGCAGCTAAAATTCTTCAAAAGTGCTGAAACAAAAGACAAATTTGACTACAATGGTATACTATTTCAATACCAAAACATTTTATAGGACTTGAAATTAAATTGCCTCAGCTAGTCATTGGAATGAAAGAATGCATTTTCAAAGTTGTTCTGAAGTAAGCTACTCCAACTAAAACACAATGGAAAGGAAAGAGCCTGAATGAAATAAACATGTAACGTTAAAATATTTAATTCATACTAGCCCCTGAGTTGGGAAAAAAATCAGATCTCATTATTAGTATTTACTTTGCAAGAATAATATCACCAAGGGATGTCAGCATTTACAACTGGAGAAAAAACAGCACAGACTTCAGAGAACCTACCTTCACAACCTTGAGTTACTCACTGGGGTTGTAAAAATTAGATGAGGTAAGACACCCAAAGTGCTTAGCACAGTTGCTTCGCTTAATAGTCCTTAATAAGAATTTATTTCCTATCCACCAAAACAGTTTCAAACTACAAAATCTTTTTCTAAACAAATTCCTTTTCGGGCACGACTTCTACCTAAGGTGCAGAGAAGTAATGAATACAACACTTTTAAAACTGCCATCTTGAAGACCATAAAGGTACAATAACTTAAAAACTCTTTCCAAAAATTGTATTGGAGTGCCAAAGGCACAATTTCACAACCTGGTTAAAAAAGTGGTAAACTAATTAGAATTGTTAATGGGTCCAAAGCCAGCTAAATCAGGGACAGTTAAAGGTCAAATGCGTCCAAGCCGGGAGCGACAAGCTCCACTTACATGTCTCTGCCTCCCACAAGAACTGGGGACTGAACCAAGGCAGGCGCGGCCGAAGTGGAGGCGAGGACAGACCGGGTTAGACATCGCCCTCGGGGATTTCCTCCAGAAATAAAGACGATTCTACCTAGAGTCCAGTGACTTCATGGGAGACCCCGGATCTCAAAGAGTTCTGGCCTTTCCTTAACCGCACGAGCACCGTCCCCGACCTCCAAGCCACCACCACCCCGAGCCCGCGGCGAGGAAACAAGTCCCCAGCGGATCCAGCCTCTCCGCCCCCAACTCCAAGCCCTGGGCCCGGGAGGATGAGGCCCGCGCCCCACCCCGGCACCCGCTCCAGCGGCCCCGGCAGGATACTGAACACAGTCCGCTCCCAGGGCTCCAGCATGTAAAGCGCGGTGACTAGCAGGTACTGGTAGTAGAACCAGGACATCTGCTTCCAGGCCCGTGCCAGCGCCATCCCCGCCATGCGCCTCCTGCGCTGCAACCACACGTCAGTCTGTCCCGCCGGCTGCTTGCCAGCGTCCTAAAACCCAGGCCTCCAGGCCCGCCCGCTCGCCACCCCGAGCCCATTGGCCTGTCCGGCCCTGCGCGTCACCCATGGCACGCCCAGCCCTGCGCGCGCCCGAGCAGTCGCTGCGAGCCCCGCCCGGCTGGCGCCCATTGGCCGGGTTGCTACCTTCGCTCCCTCACCCACCAGTCTCCCCCCAGACCGCGCCCCCGCGAGCCGAAGAACGGTCTACGCGACCTCACCCGGTACACGCAACGCGCAGCGCTACGCCCCGCGTCCCGCCCCTCCTAGGCCTGGGCCTGCCCTGGCCTTGAATCCGGCTGCGGGAGCTAGTGGAGGCCAGCCCTCTGGTGGTCGGTCCCTATAGACCCTCCCAGAAGYGCTTATGAGAGAAAAGAATTTGTGGAATACTTGTTATGCCTCAGACATCTTTCTGGACAGCAGGATTACAGGGCTGAATGGAAATGCATTCAGTTCCTTACCTTGTGCAATTTACAATCTAGTTCTAGCAAAGAAAACAGGCATTCACAGGAATGAAAGCAAAGCAGTGATCTGTGCAAAGGAGGAGAATAAGGAGATCAGAGAGAGAATAAGAGATCAATGTCAAGGAGGTCTGGAAAGATGTCTCTCTAGAAGTGATGCATAGATCACCTCCTCCTACTTCCTCCACCCATGCACGGGCATGAAGACACACTCACGTAGGCCAACATACCCATACACTGCTTAATCTAAAAACAACAGTTCGTCATAAAAATTTTTCTGACCACCTCTTTAGCGGCTATTGGGACGGACAGTGTATGTTGGTCAAGATCAAGAAAACACGCTGATTTAGTGGGTTCTGCAACTGATAGGCAGTTTGAGATCAGTTTGTGTGTGGTTATATCTCCTAGAGATACATTCTTAAATGTCCTGATTTTCTTACTGGCAAATGGACTGGGAAAGTTCCATTCTCCATCAGGAATGCCATGCACTGTTAGCATGCAAACTGACGCAATAAATGGATTGCTGTTTAAACGTTGAGAATTTCTAAGTTCAATAGCCAACTGCTTAAACTTTAAAACTTTCATGATTGATAACGCTTTATTCACTTAGAAATATCAGGTGCTGTTTATGAACTAAATGTTAGGAATAACAAGGCAGATAGACTGAGATCTGCCTTCATTAAGTACCCAGTCTACTAGGGAAGAGAGACAAATTAACCAGCCACAGTAAAGGGTATTTTTGTTGTCTGAATAGCCTAGAGAGCATCAGGTTGGGACTGTAAAAGATTTCTGGGAAATAGTGCTTGAACTGAGCATTGAAGGTAAGTAGAAGAATGAATGAGGTGGGAGAGAAAAGGATTCCAAGTTCAGGTATGTGGCACACCTGTATGAAAGCCTAATTTTTGTTATCCAGGGCTGAGGCAACCACTGATTGCAGTCCAGTAAGAAAGCCAGGACCTTCACTCAAGTTTCTCAGTTTGTCTTTCAAATACATGTTAATAAGAAGTAATCTGTGTCTGAGCAAAGTTCAGCCCTGAATGATTAAGTGATGAGATTTTGGAAGCAACCTAAGTCTATGCAGACCACCCAACCTCCAGCCTTCTTCCCAGAGAGGAAAAGGGCATAGGAAAGCATGTTAGCCCAATGCTCTGGCCTCTGAAAAGTGGAGCCTTGGGTAAAAGCTAGTGGCACAATTAGTTCTGGGTTTGTGTGTAGAAAAAAACAGAATGCAAACTATCATACCTTTAAAAGAAACACACTCCTACAGAGCTACATAGCTGTATTCATAAATTAAGTCAATGCCTAACTCACATCTAATAAATATAACTTAATTCAAGCAGCATTTATTAAGTACCTGGTTGCTATATATTTTTGCATTTGGGTGAAGCAAATAGTTCTTATTTGGGTAAAACAAACACTAGTATTTACCAATTTTTGTATGTTTTTTATACCAGAAGAAACAATTGTTAAATGTCTAGCACTTTGTTCCACAACAGTTTCAGAGCTTCTCAAACCCTCCTGTTCTGCCTCTCCTCTCCTGGACCAATACTCTGAGATCCTCCAAAGAATCTTTATGAGCCTTCCCTCATTCACAAATATCAGGATCCTATACTTAGCATCTTGCATTTCCTTCTAGCCTCTGGAGTTATCTCTAATCTATAAGGCTACTCCCTCCCTTAGACAGTAGATATCACCTTCTGTTACAAATCCTAAAAAGTCTCCCCTCCCTCCACCTCCACTTTCTACATCCTCCAAACACTCTCAGCCAATCTTCTGACCCCATTCAACTTCCTCCTGCACTCCCTTCCCCACCCCATTTGCTGACTCAAATCCTTTTGGGAATTAGAAAAAAAATTACCAAGCTATTGTCCTCTTGCTGTTAAGTACTTAATAGCTGTGGTGATACCTATAGCCACTCCTCTTTCCAGGTATCTTGACACAGTCCCAGTCACCCCTCCAAAATATACAAATTCTGAGTGCTCTCTCAACCCTGCACTGAAACCATTTACTCAAATTTACCAAAATGTCCTTCAAGCCAAATTCAATAAAGTTGTTTTGTTGTTGTTTTTGTGGTGCTGGGGACCAAATCCAGAGCCTCACAACATGCTAGGAAAGTGTTCTACCCATGAGCCATACCCCCAGCCTCCCATGAAGTTTTAGTCCTTGCTCTTAGCTGTGCATGGTGGGACACATCTGTAGTCCCAGCTACTTCGGAGGCTGAGGCAAGAGGATGACTTTTTTTTTTTTTTTTTTTAATGTTTTCGGCGGACACAACATCTTTGTTGGTATGTGGTGCTGAGGATCGAACCCGGGCCGCACACATGCCAGGCAAGCGCGCTACCGCTTGAGCCACATCCCCAGCCCTAGAATTATAATTTTTTTGATACTGAGTGTAAGCAAAAATAAGATAATTCCTACATTTCTGGCTTGATGATTAACTTTCTCTCTTTTTTTACTTTCTGTACTAGGGATTGAACCCAGAGGTGCTTGACCTCTGGGACACATCCCAGTCCTTTTTAGTTTTTATTTTGAGACAGGGTCTCACTAAGTTGCTTAGGGCCTTGCTAAGTTTACTTGTGATCCTTCGCCTTCTGAGCCACTGGGATTACAGGCATTTGTAACAATGCCCAGGGATGATTAACTTTTTTGGGGGCTGGGAGGATTGAACTCAGGGGCACTTGGCCACGGAGCCACATACCCAGCCCTATTTTTTATTTTATTTAGAGACAGGGTCTCACTGAGTTGCTTAGTGCCTCACTTTTGCTGAGGCTGGCTTTCCGAGTAGGCGAGAAGAATCTCATATTTTTTCCACCCTAACATCAAGGGCTGACTCTATGTGACCTACGCTACCACTCCTACAGCACCTGGCAAAGGGTGGCACTTGATGTAATTTTAAACTTAATTATGCCTTTCTGTGAGACATGTAGGCACATTTCTTTTCAGATCACACAGACTCTGAGGACAGAGGTCATGTCACATTGTTCTTTCTGTGACTTGGCACTGGCACAGCTGCCATATTTGGAGCACAGGGTAATGAGTAGTAAGTGAATGGATTGGTGTAATAATTGGGTCATTTGAGTTGAAAAGAATTTAAGTGAGGGATGGGGTTGTGGCTCAGCGGTAGAGCGCTTACCTCTTATGTTTGAGACCCTGGGTTCAATCCTCAGCACCACATAAAAATAAATAAATAAAATAAAGGTGTTGTGTCCAACTACAACTAAAAAATAATTTAAAAATTAAGTAAAAGCTTTCAGGAGACAAAACGTGTTATTCTTTTCTTATAAACTAGAAGTGCAGTATGAGGGTTTTTTTTTTTAACTAAAAGTACAAATATGATTTATGGTTAACAAACAGGAATAGCCAGTGGTAGCAGGTGAGCCAAGTTTGGGTAACAATAGCCAGCTTTTTAACTAGGTAAGAATGAGGTTGTGGGCTGGGGATGTGGCTCAGTCGGTAGCGCGCTCGCCTGGCATGCGTGCGGCCCGGGTTCGATCCTCAGCACCACATACAAACAAAGATGTTGTGTCCGCTGAGAACTAAAAAATAAATATTAAAAATTCTCTCTCTCTCTCTCTCTCTAAAAAAAAAAAAAAGAATGAGGTTGTGTGGGTAGTATAAAATGGCAGATCCTAACAAGGCAAACCTGAGACACTTGAAAGAATGACTTGGTCAGTTAGAAAAAAAAAAAAAAAAAGGCCCACGTGTTAAAGACTTGGTCCCTAGCCTGTGGCACTGTGGAGAGCTGGTGGAGCATTTAGTAGGCAGGGTCTAGTGAGAGGAAGTTAAGTCATTCAGGGTGTGCCTTTGGGTGAGATATTTGGATCCTGACCTCTTCCTGTCTCTTTGCTTCCTGGCCTCCATGAGGTAGACAGTTTTCTCCATCACACATTCCCACCATGAGGTACTACCTTGCCACAGGTTCAAAGTAATGGGGTCAATCAACCATAAACTGAAAACTCCAAAATTATAAACCATAAACCTTTCTTCCTTTTAAGTTGATTATCTCAGGTATTTGATCAGTGTAACAGAAAACTAACATAACTACATTATGCCATATATATATATATATATATGGCATAATGTAGTTATGTTAGTTTGCAAAACCATATATATATATATATATATTTATAGTGTTTGTCAGCTTTCCATTGTTGAAACAAAATACCTGACATTAACAACTTAAAAAGATGAAAGGTTTATTTTTGCTTAAAATTCCAATTCATGTTTGGACCAGCTGCTTTGGTGTCTATGGTAAGGCAGACAATGGCAACAGGAATTTCTGGCAGAGGAGGTTGTTCACCTCATGTTGGCCAGGAAGCAAAGAATGAGTTCACTTTGATGACAATCTCCCTTAAGCTATAGATCTGTAAATGGATTACTCTAGTCATGAGTTCATTATYCAATCACTTCCAAAAGGTCCCACCTCTAAGTATTGTTGCATTGGGACTAAGTCTTCAACATGTGAGATTTTGGGGGACATTTAAGACCCAAACCATGACACATAGTGTCACATAGTTTAATCACATTTCTG